CTTGTTATTTGTGTGACGATGTATTTCTATGCCAAATATATGACTGGTGTATCCTTGACTAAAATCACAGTTTATGATACATTAACCAATGGTCTCACATTCTGATTACAATTAGCAGTAAGCAATGTTATGCATTACCCAGACCCAGGCATTTTACTAATCAATTTTTATCCTTTGAGAGCATCATTAAACAGACTGTATTAATTCCTAGAATTGCAACTTGTTGACTTGTTCATAATTATTATTTTTCTTCTTCAGATTAAGCTATGAATAACAAGATCTCTAGAACAACTATGATGAATGAACAAAGTGATTTTGAAGAGGTTTTATCTTTAAAAAGTTTTTCAAGAAATCAACGTGCAGCAATTGCCGAAGACACTCTGAACAAGGTCAAAGATGGATGGTACCAACCATCTAAAGGTTCTCCGATAAGTCTTGCAGAAGACATTGCATTTTCTGTGAATAATACTGTGGTTTATACAGAATATGATCTACACAAGAGAAAGAAATTAATCTTAAATGCTGATGAAACAATGTCGACATCATCTGCAACGAGTATGTCTTCGTCTTTAAAGATTGAAGTTCGTCATTGTACAACTTTACAAGCAGCTCAATCGTTAGTTGCTGAGATGGTTGAAGATTGTATTGGAGTATTAAATTTTGCATCGGCTAAAAATCCAGGAGGAGGTTTTCAAAGAGGTTCTAACGCACAAGAAGAATCACTTGCTAGATCTTCATCACTTTATCCAACACTTATTCAAAATAGAGTTTTTACTGAATTTTATGATTATAATCGACATGGTAAAAGCGGTCTCTACAGTCATCGGCTTATATATTCACCAAGAGTAACTATTTTCAAAGTATGAGCAATAAAATTAAATGAGACAAATTTATTTTATTTTGTTATTCTTTTTCTTTTCACAGGATGATAACGGAAATTTATTATCTTCTCCATATCATGTTGGTATGGTAACAGTTCCTGCTCCAAACGCTAGTGTTGTTCGTCAAACAGAACTAGTTAAAAGTACGATGATGGAACGTATTAAACGTTTATTGTATGTTTTCGAAGCGAACAAACACGATAGTCTTATATTAGGAGCATTTGGTTGTGGTGTTTTCAAAAACAATCCATTTGACGTAGCAGTTATGTTTCGACAGCATTTAGAATCTGATGAGTTTAAGAACTCTTTTAAACGAATCATCTTTGCAGTTTTAGATGCTGACATGTATCAAGTATTCAAGGAAGTATTTACTAACACTGATTTCAGTTATATACAACATGGAATTATGAGAACATCTCTGAATGACAATAATAACAAACAGCATTTGTATAGTAATCGAAAGCAAATGTGCAACAAAAGAGCAAAACAAAGAAGACAACGAAGCAGTATCCTTAACGACGTTTATGATAAAAACTACAACGATTATTATAATCATGAAGACAAGAACGAATAAAAGAAAATAATAAAAACGGATGAACTATGTAGCATAATTATTGATGTTACTTTTTCACTGCTCACATGTCACTGTCAATTGTACATACGTATTGATTAACTTCAGTACAAACGAGTAAAACGCTGCTATGACTATTAAGATCATTTTTTGATTTACTGAATGTATAGAGTGTGGGATATGGGTTAAGGAACGCTTGACTCCTACACGTATAGTCTCGTTTGAGGAAATTACAATTGACATCCTGAAGAAGTAAATTTTGAAAAAAAAACGTAGAATACTTTTCAAGTACAAAAATCAAAATTAAAATTTGGTTTGTTTACTGATCTGTGCATTGAACAACAAGAATTAACTATAATCAATATGGGCATTGGTGTGGATGTAAAGGATAAGAAGAGTAACACTTACACCAACATTCCACAGTCACACCCAATGAAAGTTTTTGTAATAATATGGCAGCTCTTATACAATGACGACAAGCGATATCTTTTCATCGCATAGAAGAGCTTGTTAAGTATAGTGGTTCAATTTGAGCCAGATGATCAATTTAAGTACGTTTATCTTGAGAATGGAAGATAAATGAAGAATAGCTTTGTCTATACAATTCTGTTTATTTTGGAGAAAAACTTGATTGAATGTTGAATTGAAGCAACTGAAAAGTTGGAAATTATGCCTTAACTTGATATAAATACGTTTTTCATTGGCAAAAAAGATCATATGGTTGTCTTCATTTTCAGTGTGTGTTACTTGTCATTATTACTCACCATATTTACACATGCATCTTGCCACCACTTTTATGTTCACATTCGTTTGAAGTTTCTTTCATTCTCAAAGTAAAGCATAGTGCAACCAATAACAGACGTAGCATAGAAACGAAGTACAAAATATTTTTTTACTTTCTTTTTATCTGTTTCACTATCAGATATATGTCATAGACAAAAGTAATCTTTAGGCAAAACTCATTACAGGTAAGCGCGAAAACGTGAATTTATTACTTAATTCTTTTTCTCGATAAAAATACAGCATAAAAGAATTTAACTATTTGTTTACATTAAATTTTAAAAAAGCAGGCAGTGGCGTAGCCAAGGGAGGGTCAATGGGCAATTATCCATTGCATTTGGAGATTCGCCCATTGTAAATTTTTATTAGTAAGTTTTTGCCCATTGAAATTTTACTTTTTCAGAATTCTTTATTTATTTTTGACTCTTAGATAGTGACTCTGTTTTTTTCTTCCGTCTGAATCACGCACGCACTTTTTTCTTGTTCTTTCTATGAACAATTAAGAGAAGAAGAAGGAAAGAATTGCTTCTAGTATTTTAACCAGAGTCGCCAGATGAAGAACTTAAAACTCGGAAGTTGTTTTTTTCAACATCGGAAAAAAATCAGAGTTTTTTCTCCGACATTGGGAACTGATCAGAGAGAGTAACTTTTTGCAAACCAAGCGCTATCATGTTGATATACTTGCACAAAATGTTTCACTTTTTTTTGTTTATCGACTCATACCTTATTTCCGAAAGTATTTCATACTAAAGAAAGACAACACGAACATTATATAGCTTAGAGTAAAAGATCGTAGACTGTAAGCTGAGGAGGATGTGGCTGTGAATGAATACAGAAAATGTTAGTACCCACACCCCACACCCTCAGTTGGAATTTTTCAATGTAATAAGAAAGAAAACAATCAACCAACTGAAAGGCATCCAAACAAATATCTCGCTTGACTCTACTGTTTGAGAAGAACTATTTACATATATGACTTTTTAAACAGTCACAAAAAATGGCTAGAGGTTAGACACTGGAGATCCTCTGATCAACAATACAACCAGATGCACAAACTCTTATGAACTATCACATGGCAAAATATACTGGGAAAGTTCTTTTCGAATTTGGAGCTGAACGAGCGTAATCAATTGGTATTCTCGCTGTCGTCACTGGTGTGATAACAACTGGTGTAAGAGCTTGAGCGCAGTTATGAATATGCTGAATTAATTATAATACAGGCGTTATGGCGGAGAGTGTAGAAAGCTGAGGAGAATAGTTTATGGATTTCACAGTTATTGACAGCGATTATGACGTGCGGAGGATGGGGTGTTCAATGTGCAGCATATAAATGCCTGAGTATGAGAACCGTTCGAGGAAGTTCAATCTATCACTTTAACGCGCTGTGATGTTTTGTTTCAGTGGACAAAGAGAAGGAACAACAATAATTACAAGGCCCAAAACGACAACCTATTTCGTCTAATGGTAAGTTACTACTATACTAATCATCTGTAGATCTAACATAGTATGTTTGAATAGGGAGGAAACTTAGTATTGGCCTTCCTGTTTGGGTGGCTAGTCCAAGAGAACATCGCCCTCAGAACCATGCTCGTCGTATGAAATGGATTCAAGAGTGACTGTGTATAGGAGTGTGGGTGTCAGTATCAATCAATACAAGGCCAACAGTGACTCCAACATCCACACCAACTCGTTCCATTCATACTCACATTCACACACGTACACTCACTTTTAATATAGTAACCAAGATTTCTCAATAAAGAATAAATTAAAGCTTCAGCGAAGTTCAGACAAAAGATGGCTTGGTTTGTTACTAATATGTATGAGTTTTCATTGAGATCCCCTGTAGGAAGTTCAAAACGAGAGTTACAAACAGGAATTCTCTTTGATTGTTTAGTGCTCGTCAATCTAGGTGTGGGTTTGGATGTGAGGTATGAGCCTTCCCTTCAGTAACACTCATAACTATACCCCACGCTGAATATTTAACGAAACGACTTGTTATTGCTTTTTGCTAAAAAGGAGTTTGAAAATTAGTTTCTTTGGAGTTTTTAGGGAATTTTTCATAATAGAAATTTTTCAAAAGCACTTCGTTGCACAATATATTTGGCACACTATCTGGCGCAATCAGTATCTGTTTTCGACACAAATCTATTGACTGATGTTTCTCAAAAAAAAGTCGGTTGTACTGCTAGCTTTACCGACGTATTGATACAAAAGATTGCTGTGTGACAATTTATACTGTTTTCTATATATTTTGATGACGACTAGTAAAATAGATTATTCTCACCTATGAATCCTTTTTTCCTTCGAAATACGATTAAACCTATGTTAAAAAAAGTAATTTTATTATTTTTCTGAATATGTCATTTCTCTATTATGTGTGTGACAATTTCATATATAATTGAGTTAATTTCTATCTTTCAGCTCCTTTCCTTACAGCAGAATTCGATCAGCAACTGTTTTTATATGACCTAGCGTTTTCGAAAAGATCATTCTGTTTGACTAATAGATGGATACAACAGTTGTATTCGAAGTTAATAACTATTTGTCTGATAAAGATCGGCTCATATCTCGTGAGGAAAAAGTTATTAACATAAACACCCGCCAGATTCTCTTGATTTCACCAAAATCTTCTTATGAACGAAGCGATTTTTAAGATATTGAATAAAGTTATGTTGCCATATTATGTACTAAAAAAATGTTCTTGTAAAAAAAATCAGCAAAAGAATAATTTATTATTTTTTTTTTAACATGATAATAAACTCTAAAATTCAAGATGAATCATTTGTCAAATTCAGCAAAGCAACAGGATCAATATCTACATCACCACGCCACTGAAGAAGTAAAGCGTGTTCATCATCAGCCATATTTTGAAGAATAACTGTCATACGACGATAAATAGATGGTTGTACAAATGCTCGAAGTTTTTCTAATAAATTAAATTTTTTCTTTGCACCTCCTTCCGATAGTTTTGTATTATCATATCTTTAAAAAAAAAAAGGTAAATTAAGAAAAAATAGACATTTGTTTTATTTTACCTTCGAATGATTCGATAACCATGTTGAGTAAGTCTCTCAGCAATTACATTTTCTTGTTCCATCCATGGAAATTCCTTACTCTTTGATAATATATATTGATTAAGAAAAGAATCAATAACAAATGCAGTAAAAATACTAAAATAAATCGTTATGAAAAAAAAAAAAAAACAATAAAGCAAAACATTACTTGAGTACCACAATTACAGCACATAGATGAAAGGCAAGAAAGAAAAGACGTGCCACTTTACTGGTTACAAGAACAAAACCAGAAGCCAATACTTAAAATTGAGAGAAAGACAAAAATATTCAAAACATAGAAGATAATTAAATTTAAATGTTCAATATCGAACTACTCAACGTTCATTTTCTTTATATTATAAACAAGTATAAATCTTGAGTGAAATGCTAATATGTCTTCAATACTTTCTCTTACCATGCCATTGATTTACTACAGTTAATGCGAAAAGAAGAATCAACGATGACAAATAATCATTAAAATTATTTCGACAATATTGAGCTCTAAACATACAAAAGATATGAAATATTTGTTTTTGATAAAACCGTCTTGATATACTTTGCAAAATCTGAACCATTAAGTCGAGTATCATTACAAAATTCAGCAGATGTAGAATTCGAATCTAAATGCACTATTTTATTTTGAAATATTTCCATTCCTTGATAAAAAAAAAAAATTAATTATTGATTTTTTATTTAAAATTTTTTATATTATTTACCAATCATTGCAAATACATAATAAGTCATCTATATCAAATAAACTTCTTCATAAAATAAAAAAAGATTTATGTTTTTTTTTTTTTACTTACAAACATCACTCGAAGATAAGTTATTAATGTTGGAATAACTTTTGAAAATGTTCCAAAAATAACTTTAAATCTAATAAAATATTTCTACAATATAAAAATCAACAAATAATATTTAAATAAATTACCGTTCAACATTTCCAACAATTTTAACAAGACGTAATACTCGAATAACTAAAATAGCATCAAGAATATCTCGATTAAGACTTACTAAAATAAAGATAAACACAAAACCGAAAAAAAAAAATATTCTTCAATCTTTTTTTTAAATTTCTATTTACATGATTTAATAATAGCTGTTAGAAGACTATAAGTTGTTGATACAAAAACAATTGTAAAATCAAATATATTCCATCGATGATGAAAATATTCTTTTACACCAATAGCATACATTTTTAATAAAGCTTCAACAATAAATAATGATAAGAAAAACCATTCTAAATCATTATAACTTGCTGCTAAACATACAGCATTACCAACAATTAATAAATTAATTATAGCTCGAAAAAGACTAAAAAAGAAGATTTCATAAAGAAATTTTAAATAAACAGATTCTTTTTGTTTTTTTTTTTGTTTTACTCTGTATTAACAAAATCAATAATAATTCGACTTGGTTTTGAATTATAAATTGATGGACATTGTTTTTGAAGTATTGTTTGATCAGCACTTCGTTGTCTTAATTCAAAATTAAGATTCAATAAAAGTTCATTGAATTGTTTAACATCTATATGAATACAAAATATCTTTTAATTAATTATTTATAAATTCATACTTAATCCATCTTCTTTATTAGTTATATTTAATGTTTTCCAATAAGCATCAATTATATGTTCTGTTATATGAGGTTTTATTGCACGCATTAAACGTGTATATGTTTCATATGATATAGAACGATTTGAATTATGTTTTGTTAAACGTTCAAACATAATCATCAGAGTATCTAATTGACGTTTATGAATTAATTGTTTTTCTTCCTAGATAAATAATATATTTATATGTATAAAATATCATTTTTTTTGTTTTTATTGCCTGTAAATGTTGTTTATAATTAGAAAAAATAACGGCTAAAAGTAAGTTCATAAATAAATAAAGATTGACTAATAGATAAGCCACAAAGAAGATCACATAGAGTATGCTTGAATTAAATGCTGGCATCCTATTTATATAGAAATCTTTAGTAATTACAAAAAAAAAAGGACATGAAGTTTAAATATTATTTTTTCTACAGATATGTTTTACAAATGTCTTACGAGGGAAGGTCCCCAAGTGACGGATGCCGTTCGACTCCATATTATGCCTACAAGGTAGGTCTCTATGAAACTAAGAAAATTCTAAAAGGATTTGTGCCCATGGCCTATCGATGAAGAGTTATGACAGTTTTACTGAATTTTGGGCATGCAGCAAGGGATTTCCAAAAAAATCGAATTCAAGAATTTCGACCTGAAAATTTGCCCATAAATAGGTCTAATAGTTATTAGAATTGCTTGAAAGTTTCAGCCAGAACGAATGTTCCTTTCTCGAGATATTGAATGGTCAAAAAAATAGTCAGTTTTTACAGACAGGTCACAAAAACCGAGTTTACTTGACCATTCAATATCTCGAGAAAGGAATATTCGTTTTGGCTGAAACTTTCAAGCAATTCTAATAACTATTAGACCTATTTATGGGCAAATTTTCAGGTCGAAATTCTTTAATTCGACTTTTTTTGGAAATCTCTTGTTGCATGCCCAAAATTCAGTAAAACGGTGATAACTCTTCACCGATAGGTCATGGGCATAAATCCTTTTAGGGTTTTCTTAGTCTTATAGAGACCTACATTGTAGGCATAATATGGAGTCAAACGGCGTCCGTCAATTGGGAACCTTCCCTCGTTAGTAACAGTATCTTTATCGTAAAAGTTTTTTTTTATTAATATCTTATTTAAATTTTATGTCTTAATCTTACATAACATCAGGATTATTTGCTGTTGTTGTAAGTACATATAAATCCCAAGCAGTATCTAAGTAATGTGTAAAATATTCACTTTTATTTGGATACATTAATTTTCTAATAATAGAAAAAGAAAATATAATTGATTTCAAAAAATATATATATATATATTCTTTAAATATTTTAATTTACTTATTTTTTAAAATACCAACACCAAGTAAAGTAAATGTTAATACCGAAAATAGAAATAGAAACATCACATTACCTATATTTGGTAATGTTCGAAGAATATTTCGAATAACACGACGAATCTATTTCAAAAAAAAATAAAATAAAACTATGTATACAATCAATATATCTCTTACATTTTGACCAGCTTGTAAAGCAAATGGAAAAAGAACACGAAGTGGACGTGACCATCGTACATAATAATGACCATTGAATATCAATATATAATAAATAATCATATCAATAGTTGTTAACTAAAATTAATTATACAATATATTAGAATTTTATTTTTGAAAATAAAAATAAAATTCTATTTACCAAAAAAACACCTGCAAATATATATGGAAAAACAGCTTCACGTAATAATTTTCGTTTATCTTGTAAACGCATTGATAAAATAAATGAAGCCAAAAGTATTGATAAAGCAATTATTTCAATAATTAGAGCTACCCATGCAGGAACTTCTTTAAAATAAGCTGGTCGTTCAATACATGGTAATAATAATAAAGCAACATCAGCAAGCCATACTATCCAATACCAAGCTGTTGAATAGATCACTGTATATAATCTAAAATGAAATCATTCAAAAATATATGTTTTTTTTTTTTTTTTCGTCAATTTATTTACCGTAATACTGGTTTATCGAGAGCAAAACGAATATAATGACCTGCATTGATAGCAAGAATTTCGGCTGCAGCATACTCAACATCCTGTATATATCTACTAAGTTGAATATGTTTGAAAACAAATAAATTATTATCATACTCACCGATGTCGATGGTATAGCTCGTTTGTTTGCTACTTCTTATATCAGACATAGAATTTAAATTAGTAAATAATAAATTCAACTTTTTTTTTACGAAATATTTTTTTTTTTTTGTAGAAATTTTCAAAAAAAAACCAAAACTCTAGTTTTTGCTTAAATATAAATTTTTTTAGTCTACTTGAAACGGTAGAATAAAATTCATCATCTTTCGGAAAATTAATATATATATATATTAGTTAGAAAATGCCGTACAAAATTTGAAAACTTTCTCATTTTGTAGAGAATTATTTGTTCTATCATTCTATGTAATCTAAATAAAATCATACTAATCCATTCAAGATTTTGTCAAGCAAATCTTTTTAGTTTTAACAAATCTTTATTTTTATGTTGTCATCAAAAAAAAAATTAGATTTTTAATAAAATATTATTACAAATACAAACCTGTTGTTGTCATTTGTTCGTTATCATGCGACTAACAAATGAATAGAGAAAAAAATACGAACGACAAAAATCTAAAGTCAACTTTTTTTGCTACTCTTACCAAGCTGCTATCATATTTCACACATACAGACACACACACATATTAATCTTTTTTTACTAAAAGATAACAAAATGCATACACATATGACGCTCAATTTCCTTTCTTTATTTTTTTTTTTATTCTGATATATATTTTTCTTTTCTATTTTTTTCTTTACAATTTTAAATTAAGATCGTTTTTTCTTGTCTTTAGTTTTGGCATTTGTAGGAGTTACTGAAATAATTCTTTCTTGTTCTGTTAAATCAATTGGTGATCGAATATGAATAAATTCATGTTGATTAGGTCGTGCAAATTGATCATTATCATTTATTTCAATTTCATCACGAATTATTGAAAGACGTTGAAGTATAGCAGATGTTCGTTGACCACCTAATGAAAGAAGACCCGGAAGTTTTATAAAACGACAACCAAAACCAACAGCCTTAAAATAAAAATAAATAAAATTTGAAAACACTCTTTTTGTTTTTGTATTTTCATACAAGATCTGCTAAATGAACTTGTGCTACTTCTTGATGATCTCGTTCAAATAATCCCAAAGCATAACTATTAAGTTCTATTAACAAAAAAAAAGAAAGAAATCTTCTTTTTTTTGTTTTTTAATTACAAGAAAATAAATTTAATATTTACCATGTAATGTATTCATTCGTTGTATCAATTCAGTTATTGTTGGAGCACTATCTAACGATAATAAATGACAATTAATTGTATTATTATCATCATTATTATCATTTTGATAACGACGTATATCAGTTGATGTTATATAGCATTTATTTGATATTCGATCACATAAACGAGATAATGATGATTTGTCCTAAAAAAAAAATATATATATATATATTTCCTCATAATATAATTATTCAACAAGAATAAAGAAAATAATTACAGCATATCGAAATGGATCAATTAACATAATACACCGAGAATAAGTATCAATTAAATCAACATAAACATCAACTAATTCATCAGGTGATTTTACAACACCTGTTGTTACTTCATATCTACCACGTGTCTACAATAATAATAATATTTTAAAAGTTAAAAGATAGAAAAAAAAAAAATTTCTTTTTTTTTACATAATCAAATGTTTCATATGGTCCCATTTGTATAGCATAATCAAACCAATGTTCATCAGTACCACATACACTATTAATAGCATTTTGAATTAAATCAAATCCTTGTTCAGGTTTATCCATTGGAAAAACAAGACATCCATCATCAGTAGAATAAGTTGATTGAAGCTAAGAATATAAAGCAAAACATAAAAACATTATGTTTTTTTGTTTTAACTTACAGTTGCTCCTTTTGCATTTGTTAATGAATCACGTAAAAATTGTAGAATATTATGCACTTTATGTATCCACTATAAGATTCAAATAAAAAAGCTGTTAGCGCAATCCCTTGCGGGATTAAAAATGTGAAACACGATGGATCTATTATTATTAGTTAAATGGAAATCGTTTTGTTCCATTTCTTTGCGATACATTTGTACGCTAACCCTTTATCTAATGCTTTAGAACTGCAGTTTCTCTGTCACGGTCTGTGACGGTTACCAAGCCCTGTCTGTCACGGTCTGTGACGGTTCATTAGTTAATTAGATACTAATTAATTAATTAATTAAGATGTCTGTCACGGTCTGTGATGAGTCCCAGGCCTGTCTGTCAGGGACTGTGATGGCCCCCGAAGCCTGTCTGTCACGGTCTGTGACGGTTAATTAGTTAATTCAGTGGCGTAGCCAGGAATTTTTGAGTCATGGGCAATTCATTAGCCGAACTATTTTGAGTTACGGGCAGCTAAGGGCAACCGTTATGATTTCAAAAATATCTATGGGCAATAACTGTTCAAGCACTGCATAGCTCAATAAATCCATGGGCAATAACTTTTGGAGCTATGCGCAATTGCCCAATGGCCCTACCCCTGGCTACGCCACTGAATTAATTAATTAAGATGTCTGTCACGGTCTGTGGGCGGTCCAAATTTATACCCCTAAACACTTCAACACTCCTTTCAGATCGTGTTTCACAAAACAAAAAAAGAGAAAACATTAAAATCATCTACCTCTTCATTATGTATTATATGAGGTGTTGGTATAAGCATAAAATATTTAATTAATGATTGTTTACCCGGATATATTGGTCCACTTTGAAGAATAGGTATAATTGGTAATGGCATAGAGAGATTTGTAATAGATGAAAGTTGAATAAGACGAAATAAATTTGATTGTTTTATTTCAGCAGTTATTAAACAACAAGTTAATGATATACTTGTAATTAATAATTGACCAGCAAATGATGATGGTTCAGGTTCATCAGGAATAATTTCAATCGGTTGAAGATCTTTACCGGCTCTTAAAAAAAAATTAAAAAAAAAAAGATTTCGAATCAAAATTTTATATAACGAACCCTTTTTTACTTGGTGTTGGAGCTACACCTGCTTTAGCTGCACCAGCACCTGTAGTTGGACGTGCATTTGTTGATATTTTAACTTGTGCAACATCAGACGTTGGTTCACCGTTAGAATTTTCTGATTCAATTGCTGCTAATTTTGCCATTTTATCTGCATGTTTTGAACGAAAGTCTCTAGAAGAAAAAGAAAGAAAATTTAAGAAAAAATCAAAATATTAGAAACAAAAGCAATACACAAGAAGATTATCAATTGTTATTTGATCGAATAAATCTATACGGTTAAGAATTGTTTCTAATGATGATGAATTGACTGAAAAAAAAAACAGATACAAAAGTTTTTTTTTTTTTTTTCAGAAATTCATAAATTTTAATATATTCTAATTACCCAAGGCTTCTAATTGTTTGATTGTTAGATTATTTAATTTACCTGATAATAAATTTACTGTAATTCCATTATATCGCTATAGTAAAAAAAGAATTTTTTTTTTATTTTTGTTAACACTAAAACATTAAATATTTATATTTGATTTTTACTTCAGTTCTATTTCTAAGTGCAATTGTAAGATCGATATGTATGGCTGGTTCATCAGCAGGACCTATTAATCGTTTTAAAGTTAAATTAATAATTTGTGGTTGTTTGCTTTGACCCAAAAAATGATTGGCCTATAAGATAATATTTTTACAAAAATAAATCAGTAAAAGAAAATTTTCTTTTTTTTTTTTTGTTAACGTACAATATAACCATTAAGATCATCTGGTTTTTCATAAACAAGATGATTGAGAACATCTTCAAGTTCTGATATAATAGAAGATGATTCAAGAAAAGATCGAGCTTTTGTACGTGGATCGTCATACATCGTTTTTTTGTTTATTTCTTGAGATACATAATTTGAAAATTCTTTTCATTTACTTCAAACATTACCTAACGACGAACTTCAAAAATGAGAACTATTGATGTATAGAGGACGCTAAATAACTGTAACAACGTTTTGTTTTTTTGACATTGATGATAAGCATTAATATCGAAGTTTTAATATTATAATTTTTTTCTAAAAATAAACTTCATACGAACAAAAATTCATTTAGTTAAGAACAATTTATATATAGTTCTACATGTTGGAATACAATCCTACTATAGAACTTTTTTTAATGTTAATCATATTATGAAGTGATTGAATCATATCCCTTTTTGTAAATACCTCCTCCTCTACCCTTTATGTTTATGAAAATTGCGCACGAATCGCCCCTCTGTCAATGTTGAATTACGTCTTGGATAAAAAAAAATCATTTAATATTTCGTTGAGTTGTCAAGTTTTTTTTTATTGACGGACTCTATTACATGGGACAAAAAACTCTAGTAAATATGCTTATCTACGCATTTTGTAAAGTATACAATGCTTTTATGTTCTGTTTCATTTCGTTTTTTTTTCATAAGAAATTATAATAAAAAACATTAACAATTTCGTCTTGTGCCCAAAAATATATATATAACAACCAATGAATGAATTTTTAATGTCGCAAAAGTAGAAAAATATAAAACAGTATGTGTATGATCGGTTTCACTATATAAATATTCAACGAAAATCAAACATCTATGTCTCTAAAACAATGGCGTATACATGATGACATTCATATCGATACATATTCATCAATAGACTTAAATTTTGATAAATTTATAAATTCTGAAATAATTCCAACATTATATAATGATAATATATTAATATGGTTAGATAGATGTATTCATAATTATGATCAAGATGATCGATATTCATTCTATCAACTTTATTGTGTTATCAAGTCAATTTTTATTTTTACAAATGAAGAAGAATGTTTGAAGTTTATTAAAAAATTTGAAACAAATAAAAATAAATTATTTTTAATTGTATCTGGTTCAGTAGGTCAAAATTTTGTTCCGAATATTAATCATTTATCACAAATTAATTCAATTTATATTTTTTGTGGAAGAAAAAACAGACATGAAGATTGGGTGAAAAATTATAAAAAAATTAAAGGTGTTTTTGATGATATTAAAGATCTGTGTATTAATCTTGAATATAATACAAGAAAATTTGAACTCAATACAGTAGAAATCGAAAATTTGATAAAATTATTACCAAAAAAATCTTCATCACCTTATAAATTTGATGAAATTATATGTTTTTCAAATTCTTATTGTGATATTTATCAACCACAAGATGATATTCAAATATCAACTACATCAATTGAGATTCCATTTAGTAATAAAGAAAATTGTTCGTCGAAAAATGAAATAGAAGTCAATAATAATGTAACATCTAGTCAAACAGTTACTCCATTTACTCAATATAAACAACAGATGGAATTTTCCGATACTGGTAAAAATAAAAAAAAAAAAAGTTTTCTAAAAAGAAAAAGTACAACGCAGAATAAGATCGTAAATCTCACTGCTAATAGAATAGAAAGTACTTCATGAAAGAAATAAAATAAACTAGACGAAAATATACCAAATTACATATTCTATCTTTCTAATCTATTGATTGTGAGATCTATAGTAGTGTCCTTAATCTTTTTTTCTTTTTAATTTTCTGTATTTTTTAAGGTATTTGGCCAAGTTTATCTGTTATCGATAGTGAACAAAATGGAATTTTCAATCATCTTCATTCAGTTGTAGGAACAGTCAAATATTTTCAGTCAATAGAAAATTGTTTACAATATGTTTGTGATAATCGTGAAGATCCACATTTAATTGTTATTTGTGATCTAACAAAAATTGAATATCTACCTATATTAATTCGTACTCATGTACGAAATATATATATCTATTGTCCAAATAAATCTCTAAATGAATATTGTATATGGAGTGAAAAATATCCAAATATTGTTTCAGTATTACAACATATTGATACTCTTACTCGTTTGATTCTTTGGGATTTATCTGCTTGTATTGTAAATATTGGAAATTATTATGACAATGAAAATCAAAAAAATTTGGCTCAAACTCGATATCGTTATGCATATCGTCTTCATATTATTATTCATGAAGATTTAAATAATCGACTACAGATGTTTGAAAGAGTTGATCAATAAAATTTGATATTTACAGGTTGAAAAAGAAGGCTAATATATTTGTATTTTTGTTTAATTATTGTTATTATTTCTGTTTGACCAATCTTGATCGTGAAGTTTCGTTCAAAGTTAATATTAACTTGTTGTATATATTTTTTTTTAGATTATTCTTATACGTACAAACAAACAAACAAAAAAAAGTTAATCAAAGCACGTGTATATTCACATTAAACAAGGTAAACATCTTTTTTAACATAGAGAACATTGACAGAAAAATTAAACTTTTTTTCTTCAAAATTAGTTTAAAGAATTTTCAACAACAAAATCTAAATTAGACATCTCAACATGAATATTTTTTGTTTTTATCTTTTTGCCTTGTAATTGTGACTATTCTGTTTTATTTTTGCATCTGAATAGTATCTTGGTTTGCCCCGTTGTATCATCATAAAAAATATTGTATTCACCCTTGCTTATCGCTCTGAATTACCTTATCCGTCGAGTTGAAATCAAATATAACATACTATCTTTAGACTCTGTGGTATTCTGTACTATCCATGTTCGCCTATATCGTTATTATGTATCGTAATATGTTCTCACAACCGGAACTAAAGATTTTAGATATTAAATAAAGAAACGAGTATCAAAGAATTATTTTAGATGTGATACAAAGAAAATCTTCTAGACAGGCACTATTACTAAACTATATTTACCAGAACTAGCGAGAACCCGCGCATATTGCACGGCTGTTTTCTCCTTTAATGTATGACCTCAGACATTTAACTTTTCATCCGGTAAAATACATACAGACACTCGATATTATGTATATAGATAGGTTGCCCTACGACCTCATACTCTCATATCGCACATATTTTTATAGTCCATGCAGCCTTCGGCCTTATAGCCTTATATTCCTTGTAGACTCATCTCCCTATTGCCTTACTCCCTTCAAGGCCTATGCTTATCACAATATAAAAGCCCTCGGGGACCTATGAGTACCCCCATAGGATAGCTCTTGAGGATTTATGGGTACTCCCATAGGATAGCCCTTGAGGACCTAGGGGTACCCCCATAGGACAGTCCTTGAGGACCTATGGGTACCGCCCTAGGATAGCCCTTGAGGACCTACGGGTACCTCCACATAATAGCCCTTGGGGATCTATGGGTACCCCCATAGGATAGCCCTTGAGGACCTATAAGTCCCCATAAATAGTCCCTGGAGATCTCCCCTTATAGCCTTATGTGACCTTTGACCCTGCACAGACAGACAGACAGACACACACTGAGCATTATATATATATAGATTATGGCGAAGACAAAAAAAAACTTCATCTCTAGTTCTGTCCCATGTAGCCATTTTGGTGATATATAAATTGTAAACCGTTCCTACCTTGGCATCTTTTATTTTTTTTTTGTTACAATAATATTGATGATTGAAGAAAAATTAATTTATAACTATTTTCTTTAGTGTTTTATTTGTTGAGAAATCAATCAATGTGGACAAAGTTTTAACACATATTTTGAAAGATGATATTTATTTATAGACAAAAAAAAAAGAAAATCTTGATCAAGATCTCATTGTTCGAATTTTTTAAAAATATTTTGTTATCATTTGAAATTATAATTAAACTACACAATTTTAAACTTTTCCACGATGTGTGATCTCCTTTTGCTGTGCATTAAAAACTGATAAAAAAAAAACAATTTTAAATCATTATTTCAGGTAAAAGATGACCGATCATAAAATTAAAGATGGACTCTCAATTAATTTGTGTCGATGTCGACTTCATAATTATGGTTGTACTGATTTAGTACGTTTCATTAAATTATTCTATTTTCTTTAATACATATTTATTTTTAGTTTCCATCAAATCAATTATCTAAGCATTATTTAAGTGACACACATATTAAAAGTATTATTAAATTTATTTGCGTACAACAAAATAATCATGAATATGCACTAATTGATCTTGTAATCGATCCAATAGGAACTGGCCAACTTTTATCGTCAAGAAATAATCAATCAAATAATTATTCACAATTGGTTGAACGACTAAATTTTGCTGTAAACGAGTTTCTTCAATCGTCAAATACAACAGATATTGCTTCAAATACTTTACGAAATATAAATCAAAGTAAGATTTAAAAATTTTTTTTTTCTTCTAACTGTTTACTTGTCTAGTATCTAATACGATTCAATATCAAGCAAGAAATTTAATCATTAATATGGATAGAAACTCAAATTATACTTCTAACTTACAAACACATCAAGATTTATGTCAATCAAATGAAATGGTAATGAATCAAATTTTTAATTTAATTGATTCATCATCAGATAGCAATGAATTAAATCATCATACAGAACAAACTGAACAACATCAAAATTCATCACATATCAATGAACATAATGTAAATATTTATGAAATAAATCTAGCCTATGAAAACATAATGTATTAATTTTAGACTTTACAATTTCATATAAATTCATGTCAAATTCTTCAAACTCAATTAGAAAATACATCTGTTTCAACAGATGGTACACTCATTTGGTATGTTGTTGAAATATTACAAAAAATTGACGATGCTATTAGTGGAAAGCAACCATTTATTGATTCAGATCAATTTCAAACATCAATGAATGGTCAACGATTATGGGCTCGTATTTATCTCAATGGAAAATCTGATCGAAAATTTATATCATTTCATATACATCTGAATTTTCCAGTGTATAATACTTTTAGTGGTTATATTGAATTTATTTTGGTTGATCAAAGCACTAATATTCCATTAGAACACATTATAAAACGGTGCCCTG